GAAAAAAAAAAAAAGAAAAGGGTGGGCAGAAAAAATCCCACCAAAAAGCAAAGGAAGAAGTGGGGGGGGGGGGGGGAATAAATCATTAAACAAACACCAAGAAAAATAATCCTTTAAAACCACTAACCCCAATAAATGTTTCAAAAGACTTGTAAGCGGATATCATATGTGACACAATATTCACTATTCAAAAGTCAGAGGGGCCTCACCCAAATTCCATACGAAGTGAATTTATGGAGCAAAAGACTGCAATCATTAGGAAACCAAAGGCTAATGGAGGCTTTATCATTATATCATAATTTGGGGTGGTGGTATCTCATCTTGGTGCGGTCAATTCTCTGACTGACTTCATTTACCGGCTAAATTGTTTCCTTCACGTGGAGGGGCTGTTCAAGATAAATATATGCACATAGATCATCTGACATTCCAGCAATGGTGAATAAGACTATTACCTCCAACAACGCAGTTTAGTAGTTTGATTAATTGTGAACTTTCAATTTCTCTTTTCCAACTTCACCAGATTTTTATCTTTGTCGACATATGACTTCATTATAGGATTCTCTTACCAACATACGAGTGTTGATATTTGGAAAGGTCTTTATCATGCTTTATTTGGTCATTTGGTGTACTGGGAGAAAGAGAACTAACAAATATTAGAGGACATTAAGCTTCATTTAGTGATGTTGCCACAGTTATTCCTTTGCATGAGTAGACACTAGACAGTCCGCATTATGTTTCTCTTTTCCAACTTCACCAGATNGCACATAGATCATCTGACATTCCAGCAATGGTGAATAAGACTATTACCTCCAACAACGCAGTTTAGTAGTTTGATTAATTGTGAACTTTCAATTTCTCTTTTCCAACTTCACCAGATTTTTATCTTTGTCGACATATGACTTCATTATAGGATTCTCTTACCAACATACGAGTGTTGATATTTGGAAAGGTCTTTATCATGCTTTATTTGGTCATTTGGTGTACTGGAAGAAAGAGAATTAACAAATATTAGAGGACATTAAGCTTCATTTAGTGATGTTGCCACAGTTATTCCTTTGCATGAGTAGACACTAGACAGTCGTTTCTAGGCGATCCAAATTTTTTCTTATTTCTTAGACGATTTGTTCCTGATCTATTAATATCCTGCCTACGTGTGTGTTGGCTTTGCCATTCTTCTCTAACTTTGAACTGGAACATAACCTATCATCGCAAAGAAATTCAAGCATAGATAAGAAGCTTTAACAAAATAGATGTCCTCTCTACTTCTGGAGACATCTTTACGAGTCCAGTAGGATTAAAAAAAATAGGAGCTAGTAGCCTCTAACTTCCAATCATGAATAGAGTCAAAAAAAGTAATGCATTGTTTCATAAGACTTTCTTCAGTAGTTATTTTTAACTAGTTAGAAAGATAAAAAAAACTACAAAAAGATAAAAGTGAAAAAAAGGTTGCTTAGTTTAGTCTCTTGTCCTAATCCCTCCCACCAACAAAACTGCCCCCAAAAACCCCAATAAAAAACCCTCAAAAAGAGGTTGCTTAGTTTAGTTTAGTTTAGTTTAGTCCCTCCCCAAAACCTCCAACTAAAAACACCCAAACTATACTTATGGTAGCAATAGCATACATAGGCAAACACATTCAGATAATACTAAAGTATCCACACACACATCTTTTGATTGGAAAATAGTCATCAAACATGTTTTCACTTTTTAACTTTTGATTTAAGCAAAAGAACCAAAAAACATAATAGTTAATTTTTTACTTGTTGACCATTCTTCCAAAAAATTGATATCAAATGGTGTTTAAGGAAGCCAATGCATCATTTTCCATGCAAGCACATTATCGGCCTCCAATAAATTCCTATCCCTAGATAATGGGTTGTGATCAGGAGCATAAATTTGCTGGGAAACATAAATACTATTGGAATCCCCACAAACATTGAATTTAAGAAATTCCGACTACAGGCCGCAAAATCATTTTCCAAAATCAAATCCCACAAATACAAACCAATACATTTGCATTTATCATGAGAAACATGACTTGTTCCCTGGAGCTGAAGCACATTCCAGTAAACAAGTCATATTTCTCCAACCTCCAATCTGAACAAGTCCACCATGAAGGCTCACCAAGAAGAGCATTGGCATATCTATAGCTACTCATGCTTTATGCCCACCTATACTCCCTAACTCGCAACATAAGATGCTAATACCATAAAATTCAGTGCAATACCGCTGGAATTTAAACAAATCCCTATAACTACACCACTGAATACACATCCTAACAAAAAATATGCAAAACTAATAGAGGAATAAAATGTTGATCCCCTGGAACAGCAACTCCAACTTAAGCATAGAGATCAAAATGACAGACGACTAGGCCCTTACTAACCTTCTTCTTCTTCACGGGTTTAAGGATTTTTATAATGCATTTCTCATTATCGGTGGAGTGAACGCCCTCAAAAACCTCGCTGTATTTCCCCCTTCCAACCTTCCTCACCACCTCGTAATCATCCTGCTCCCTGTACAGCCAATCAATAGCAAAAAAATAAAGTCACATAAACATATATATACACACACTAGTATGAATGAAAGATATATGGTTACCCCCATTGGACGGCGAGAGACTCGTAGTCCCAATACTCCTTCGGACGGATCACATTGATGTCGGAGTAAACCCTAGCCTTGGAAGGGGCGCCGGGGCGCCGAATAGATTTTCCGATCTTCTGAGCCAGCGTTTCCGATAAGGAAAAAGACGGCCGAAGGCGATTCGACTGTGGCGGTGGTGGCGACGGCGGCTGATTCTTCTCCTTCTGTTTCTGACGCTGTGAAACAAAGAAAGGGGCCCGGGAAGCGATTCGTCGGAGGAAAGTGACGGGAGGAAATGGAGGAGAGAGATTGGACGAAAGATAAGACGACGAGATGAGGATCGAAGAAAGGAGGTAATTGTTTTGATGAGACAGAATGAGTTCCAGAGGCCTTAAGGCCATCAAACGGAGGGTTGAGTTAACAAGGTGGAGACACAACCCTCGTGCTCTCCCATATCTCTCCCACTTTTTTCTTTTGTTTATTATTTATTTATTTTTTTGGCTTTTAGTTTTGCTTTTTCTTTTTTTTTTTTTGGTTTCTTTTCTTTTGATTTTTATATTCTTCCTGTTTCCTCGTGGTTATCTTCTATGAAAAGACGATGTCGTTTTCTTTTGTTTTCACGTATGGTAATTGTAATGTATACTATACGCGCACGGCTATAGTATAATCTAAAATATGTTTCAGTGCCACAAGATCACCACTTTGAACCACTAAATAGTGGTGGCGGCAGCGAGTGTTGGGTACCTACGGGGCGAGCTTTTTTTTTTTTTTGGAGGGGGGATGTTGTATGTGGTACATATAGACAAAGGGTTATATTAATCACTTGAACAAATGTATTTTTTATTTATTTTTTTTTTTTACTAGAATAAATGTATAGAATGGAATGGGAATACTAAATGAGATTGGTATGAATTGTTTGGGGGTGAGAATGGCCCACGCTTTATTATACTAGGAGGGGCACACACGTGAGTCACGCACATATGTGAGTCACACATACTTATCATTTGAGAAAACACGTCAGCATTCTTTGTCCCCCATCTCCCAGTGAAGATATCCCTGTGTTTGGCAGATTTTATTATTTTAGTATTGTGGACGTGTTAAAGTTTAAACCCGCTTAAAATTATAACACTTACCAATCTTATTTATCCAAATTGGTTTAAAGTTTTAAAATTGTGATTGTTTAAATAATTATAGTAAAGCGTAAGATTACTTTTAGATTGTTTTATATGTCTAGAAGATTAATGACTTGAATAATTTTTACTGCAGCAAATTAATGAATTCAAATCCGAAAAAACTATTGGGATTGAAAAAAAACGAGTTAATTACATTGGTGGTCCTCAAATGATGAAATTTGTCTCATTTTGGTTCCTAATGTTTCAAACATATTATTTTTGTCCCTAAAATATTAAATATGTTTTTATGTAGTCCATCAAGTAGATAGTGTTCAGATTGTTAAAAAAAATTATTATAAACTTGTCACGTGATACATAAATATAGGAAAAAAATAATTTTGGTAACTCTTGATCAAATTTTTACCCAAATTTTGTTCAAAGAGCTACCCAAATTACACAGTTTTAATCACGAGGTATCCAAATTTTAGTCAATAACTACCTATATTACACATTTTTTGTCGATAGCTACCCAAATTTTAGTCAAGAGCTAATCAAATTATTTTTGATTTATATTTAAGTATCACGTGACAAGTTTATGATAAAAAAATTATTAGTAATTTGAATGTTGTCTACTTTAAAGACTACATAGAAAATATTCAATCTTTCAAAAATTAAAAATAATACAATTGAAATATTATGAACCAAAATGAGACAAACCTCGTACTTGGAGGACCTCCAATACAATTAACCAAAAAATATAAAGTAAACAACGAATAGAGTTGTGCAAATTATTGTACTTGGCATTAATCAAAAAGAAAGAAGAAACTGTCCCTATATAAAATTTTGTGTTTGATCGAGGATTCTCTCTCTGTAGTCCTCCCTTTTGTATTTATAAGGGGTACCTTATACTTGCTAAAGTCAGATTTTTCTGGCCATGACTATAATTATGACATCTTTCTCTCACGTGTTTGGATATGCATCGAACCATTCATAATTGACAGCTCAAAAAGTTTTATTTCCTTAACTTTCATTAGTTTCATGTTTTACTTAAACTCCTGACTTTATTCGTCACGTTAATATTTAGGTGTAAACACGATGAAAATAATTCTGCGAGTATATGAAATGGAATATAATTGATGCATTATAATTTATACAACTCTTTTACAAGAAGATACAATTGATACAAAAAAAAAAACATGCACATCCTCATCTGTGTACAATCAAAGGAGGAAAATGATAACAACAAAGAAGGTTACCATTTTCATTGCAAATTAGGAAATTCTATCTACATATAGAATTAACCCAAGTTCATCAAGTGGAGAACTAATCCAATTACAAACAATGTTACTAAAAATGGCTAAAGTTAGTAACTATACTTAATCTTTCAAAGTTGAAAAGAAAGGGAATATAGACAAACAACCAACCACCCTCAACCCCTCTGGCCCCACCCAAGAGAGAGAGAGAGAGAGTAACTCTCCATTTCAAATAAATCTTCCCACAAGGTAATGAGAATAAACAAGGAGGTGGCAAATTACCTAAACTACACAGGGCCTTATGCTTATTAACAAGTCCAAAGTGTGTGCATTTTTGTCCTGGTCAACATTGCTTTTGAACCATATAATCTTTACATCCATTTTTTCTACGAGTTGGGAAGTAATATTTCAAATGATTACCTTACGAAACAATATCAAATATTGAATGAAGGAGAAATTGTTAATAGAAGGCGACAAAATGACTCGAATTCAACAATTGGCGCCGGTGTGGGTTGTTGGTGGTGCCATCGTTGGTGCCTTGGTGGGCTACGAAGAAAAGTCACAAGAACTGCTCCTTGTCTGCTAATAGAGAGAGGCTATGGTGGGTTTATGCTGGAAAATGGACAGCTATTACAAAAAAGACAGAGGAAGAGGAAGGGGCGGCCTTTGGAAGTATGATTTTTGGACCAAAAAGACATTGTCCTTAAAGGTCCTCGTATTTACAAACCGCTATCAAAGCTTATGTCTATAAATAGGCATTGAATCATCCATGTTTAACAATCTGAATTTCAATCTTCATTTAGTGAGTGAACTGTGCGTTAACAAAATACTCTCTGTCCTTTTTTCATAGAGTGGTGAGATCTGAGTGGGAGGTATACAAGGGTATAAAAATAGCTCATGTTTGTCCTATAAAATTCGAGCAGCGAGGCTTGTACTGTATACTCAATTTTTTCTCAATAGTGAAGAAGATAACTAAATCACGCCTGGTGGACGTAGACAGGAGTTTTGCCGAACCACATAAAATACCGGTGTTCTTTTCTTGTGTGGTTTGATTTAATTATTTAATTTATTTATTTTCTCATCGTCGTACTGACCAATTTACTGTGAGTATTTTCCAACAAAAATACCGNGTGTTCTTTTCTTGTGTGGTTTGATTTAATTATTTAATTTATTTATTTTCTCATCGTTGACCAATTTACTGTGAGTATTTTCCAACAAAAATACCATACATTTGTACAATCATCATATTATGTAGTACTAAAATTGCATTTTTCATAACTATACCCCTAAGCAAACCATTACAAACCTCATCGAAGGAAATAAAGAACGACCATAAGCATGAAAAAACTTGAACTTGACCCGTAATTATTAGCATTGATGGTTTAAACGCTCAAAATCAAAATTGAATTAAAAGCTTTCGGTCTCCAGCATTTATCACAGTAACGAGGAGTAATACACTTGACGTTAGAGTATTGGTTTGTAAAGTATATCTATACCAAGAGCTGTTAATTCAATTGAACTACTCTAGTTCGACTCATTTAAGTTCAACTTGTTTAGATCGAATTTGTACAATTTTGTAGGCTCGTTCCAAAATGAATCCGACAAGCTCGATTCGTTTATGTGCAAATACTTGAGTTCAACTTATTTTAAGCTCGTTCAAGCTCGATTCATTTTCTATACTTAAACAATTTTTAAGACTTGGTTAAGAAAAATAAAATTCTTTGGCTCGGTTCAAAATCAACCCCCCAAGTATACCTCACAAGTGAAGAACCGAATTATATTAGTCCTCTACATTGAGATCCCAACATGCAGTCAGCCTCAGCTGGTACAAACCCACTCTTGTGCACTTCTTCCAATTCCGTAGCTGTCGAAAGCCCTCCCTATATTAAAATATCAACGCAAATCTCTAAAAGAAGAACATGCTATTGCTTTTGAGGTAAAAAAGGAAAGTTACCAATAAACTCATTAAGGGGAGCTCATCACACTTAGCTCTCACTGAATTTAACATTGCATCCACAAGCCCAAGTTCACAAAGAGACTTCTCACAAAATGAGAGGTTGAACTCAAAAATGTCCCTAAAAAAAGGCTCACAACCACTTGGATCTACCTTAACATCCTGAACAATTTCATAGACTAGGAGTTGGAAGGGCAACTTTTCAATGAGAAGTTTAGTGATCTTCTAATATTTGCAAATTTTAAGGTCTTTAAATATAAAAATTATTATCAAGCTTTGTTGAATGCGTGAAATCCTCCACAAACCAGGAAAAGGAAAAAAAATGAATAATAGATTACTAAATAGAGTCGGGGCTTATATCAGTGAAGCTTTTTGACTCCTCCAGTAGCTAAAAGATAACAGATAGATTTTTGATAAATTAGTGTTAGTCGAAATATGTATTTGAGTAATAACAATAATATGGAATATCAAATTGTAACTAACCTATTAATGTTGATACATTTAATACATGCAAGTATTTACTCTAGAATCCAAATAGTCACTTTTGTGTATATGCCAAACTATGGACTATTATTAGGTAAAAGATAGAATCGCCATAAAAATATTATTATTTTTTTTTAGGGGAGGGGAGGGGGGAAAGATACTTGAACATTTGACCTCAAGAGGGCAAAGTCTTCACAAGGCAAAGAGTATCATTGGACCAAAAGCTCATTGGTAAAAGTGAGTTGGAGTTGCTCTTAGAATGACAACATAGGAAAATGATTGAATAGATATTTTATTTCTTGGGGGCAAATTAGAAAAATAAAAGTTTTTCAAGTTATTGTACTTTTATTATACCATCTCCACCGATGACTAAATTTTTTATTTAAATTTGAATTAAAGTTCAAGGAAAATATTTATTTTGATACAAACATTCTAATGGAAAAAAAACTTAAATTTAATTGAGAATAAACTCAAATTTAAAGAAGTGTGAAATATTAACATTAGATATTTAAAAGAGGATATAATCTGACAATTGAAAATTTGAATACATATTTAATCTTCTTGGTATGAATATTAGTAAAACATTGAAAGTTGTTTTA